TACACACTGCAGTGATCTGCATAGGACACTGTTACACACTGCAGTGATCAGCATTGGACACTGTTACACACTGCAGTGATCAGCATTAGACACTGTTACACACTGAGAGCACAGTTACACACTGCAGTGATCAGCATTAGACACTGTTACACACTGAGGGCACAGTTACACACTGCAGTGATCAGCATTAGACACTGTTACACACTGCAGGCCTTAGGAGATTTATATTCTTGAGGAGACATTCTTTGATGCCAGCTCTGCATCACTGACACTGGGCTTAGGTCTGCCATCAGATTATGTTCTGAAGTAGGCAGGTGTTTCTAGAAAAGGGCTAAAACTATTTCTGTGTCAAAAACTTAATGACAAAAAATCAGCATAGCCTGCCAGCCAGCACAACTTTCACAGAAGTATAAAGTGTCCAACAGAAGCTGATAATTAAGTTTCAACAGTATTGCCAGTTTCTCTTTTAAAAATTGGGAACTGTTTCCCACAGGTGAATGTTTATTTGTTTTACTCAGATTATTTTATTCCTTCTAAAGAGGCAAAACACCATGACAGCAGTTCTTTCCCTCACATCCCTTTTTTAGCAGAGACTGTTGAAAATTCACATTTAAAGTGTTGACTGAGAAAAAAATTAACTGTGAAACAGATATTTAGCTCCTTTAATAAGCAAAACTATTGTCAACACATCCTGGTAGACAATGCTTTTAATTGTAACAACATTTTATCTCAAGGCAGTCTCAAAGTTTAATTAAGTTATGCAAAAGAAAATTATGTTTATGCTTTCATCAGTATTGTAGCGGCAAATTTGATGTAACAAATTTCTTATCTCTTTAAGTATGCTTAGACAACATATTACTGTATTTAAAATTGCAGTCTGCCAAACTGCTGAATTCAGTGAGAACTTTGAGACTGCAGAGAGCCAAAGGCAACACAGAGAAACAGAGTAACATGGTTTTGTGTTTGAAATACCTGTAGATTGCATAAATTCTCATGTTAATCTGGTGCCATGAAGCTTGAAGAAATCCCACTGGGCCTTCAAGAAACTGGCATCTTGTATTGTAATTTTCATTATAACTAGAGTAATCTTATTATTTTCCTTTACAGTTGTGCTGGTTTTGGATGGGGTAGAGTTAACTTTCTTCACAGCAGCCACTGTGGGGCTGTGTTCTGCATTTGTGCTGAAAACAGTGTTGATAATTCCAGGATGTTTTTGTTATTGCTGAGCAGAGCTTGCACAGTCAAAGCACCCAACACAAGGCTCGAAGGGTTCAAGGCAAGAGCAGATTTGACTGGAATGTGCTAGATCAAGTTTATAGCTGCTATTGCTGCTTAGCTGCTGACAGGCTTGTGTGCTTGCCATGGGGCTTGCTGCCTTCTGTACATTAGTGCTTGTTAGTGGCTGGCTTTTTGCTTTCACTGCTTGCTGTACCACGTATCTTGCTCTCCTGTGCCTGGGAACATTCTGATAACAGCAGTGTTTCTGTGTACTGGACAAACTGGAACTCCAGTGTGAACTCAAACGGTCTGTGACCTGTGGATGAGCCCATGCAGCAGCAGGATGCTCCGAAGCATCTGTGTCCGTGGAGAAGTCCAGAGGAAGGCAAGAAAGCCTGCAGCACTCAGTATTCCCACCTGAGTGCAACGTCCAAGTCTTCCTCAAGGCCCTGTTGAAGAAATACTTGGTTCTCTGAAGCCTTTCAATCTTAAAAATGTCATGGGCTGTAGGGAGGATTGACTTCAGTCAATGGGTTATGAGGAACTAACATGAATCGTTGCTGTTACAGAGTACTGGTGCTCAGAGGAATTTAACAGACTGCAGGAAAATACATCACAACAGCAGCCTGTTCACCTTAGCAGGGCAGCCTGGGCAATGCTGATAATGCAGAGGACTACATTTGATCACTGACAGCACAGTCAGCACCCCTTGTGCTGCCCTCTCTCCGAGGCAAAGACAAGTGTCCAGCAGTGCCCGAGCTCGCCCGGTCACTGTGGGGTGGGAGGTGATTGTCTCGTAATCCGTTCGGGACAGCGTCTGCTGCGAGCGAAGCACGTCCAGCAGGTGGTTGAGACGTCCTTCTGTCATGCAGCTCAGTATGGTCTGCCTCTGGCACGTGAGTATTTGGCAGAAGTTTCCTTTGCAGCAACGACCTGGAAACAAAAAGTGAAAAGGAAGTGAGAGGGGAAAAGGAAACAAAATGAGTTAAACTAGTACTATTTTCTTCCAGAAGTTTTTAGCAAGTGGTAACATCGACACCAGAAATATTAACTCAGTAGAGGAGGAAAGTAGGAAGAGTTAGTTTATGTGCATTGCAGGTTCAAAACTAGTCCAAAGTATTTTCATCTTTTATTTGAAACTCATGAAGGTCAGATGGCAGAAAATAAGTGTTTCTAAAGACCATTAAGTGCTCAGTTTTTTAGGGAGGAGATTTTCAGATCTTATGCTATTTGCTGAGCATCTGTATTGAACTTCACACAAAACAGCTTGGCTTGGCACAGATGAGAAAACTTCTCCTGTAAAAAATGGAAGGACAGATAACAGCTCAGGGTAGCAGGAGTGTTTGAAACATGTACCGTGAAACTGGGAAAATGAATATACATCAAAGCCAAACTGATAAGAAAAGTAATACTCTTGGCAAAATGGTCGAGAGCTTTGGGTTCTGTCTCTTTTCACAAAGTGATTAGAACACTTAGTACTGATATTGGGGTTTTTAGTGTACAGGAAACAATTAAGAACCAAAAGCCACGTTGCTTTGGAGAACATGCCTCTGTCATTCTGATTGTTGCTGAGGGTTGTGTGATGAACTTTTCCTGCACAATCTAGTCTGTTGATTTATTCAGAAATTATGTCATCACTCAAGTGAATTGCCAGGGAGAAGGATGGCCAGCTACGTTGAGAACTATCACAAAGCAGTTTGCAAAAAGCAGTTTGCAAAAACAGCTCCCAGAGCTTCACCCACAAGCAGAGTCAGGCTTCCCAAACCAGGAGCTGACCCTTCCTGCCTCTGTTCTGTAGGAAGACCTGAGATCATGTAAGTGAGGGAATGGATGGCACCCTGTCACCTGTTCCTGGAGTCAGGAGCTGCTCTTGCAGAGGTACGTAAGAGCACAGCTTAAGATGGCAAAAACAATCATTCCAGACTTAACCAACTAATGTATTTCACATTCAGTGTGTGCTGTAGGTTTTGTATTTTTATTATGGTCTTTTCAGAACTGTTCTCAGCCTCCCAGTGACCCTGGAAAAGAATGTTCTGGACAATGACCCTGGAGCCAATGTTCTCAATAGGCAGTGCCTGGACTTCTGGGAAGAGAGGAGTGTCTGTACAGAAACAGACTCCTGAGACACTGGGATCGAGTTAGGAGCAGCTAGTACATGAAATACCTAAAATGTGCACAACATTTAGAAAGATCTTAATATTTAGAAATATTTTAAACAATTTGGTCACTTAGATCTGGCCAAGGCAAATACTGCCACCTCAAACTGAAGTGATGCCTTACCTGTCACTGCTTGTCCGAGGTGCACTGGCTGTGGTCTGTGCTTAAGAGCCGGTGGTGGGGCAACATCCTGGCTGCTTTGATTGTTTGCAGTTGAACCAGCTAAAGGAATCTTCCCAAAGAAGTTTGGTTTTCTGCTCTCAGAGCCTGGATGATCTAGAAAAGGTTAAGATGAGCAAAATTAGATCCTTGAATTGAGCAACAACAAAACCCTATACATGTGTCACACACTGCAGAAAACTGGAATTAAGACTGACTTGAGACTGCTTACTTATCACTAGCTATTCTTGTTAATACGTCTGTCAAAAACAACACTCAATATTTGTGTGTGTGGGAAAGGCAGCTCTACATTTACAGGTCAGTATTAAAAAAAAAAAAAAAAATTAGCAAACCCAGCTTTTTGATCTATACATTTAATCAAAAAACATTGTGGTGTCTCTGGTTTCCTGCAGTGAACTCACACATCAGATGACACCAGCAGAAGGCACAGCTTTACTCTGAGAAGGGACAATTTTAGATGGAAAATAACATTTCTATATTGAACAACTAGTAATAGTTATGATTTTCTTATAATTGCTAGGGCTGAATATAGTTCAAGATAGACACCTTTGCTTGTTTTTGCATTCTGTGGGATAGTATTTGACAGACCCATCTCAAGAATATTCTCTCTTCCTTCATTATTTCCACTGCTATCAAGCAGACCAGCTGATGAGCTTGGCACTACAAAAGGAATTTTCTTGCTGATTAAGCGGTTGTTTTTTGGAGGACAGATGATCTGAAAGAGATCAAAATAGAGAAGAGTTACCCTCTTGGGAACTTTTGTTCCAAAACGTTTTCTAAACAGGAGAGGTTGGAAAAAAATGTGGAGTGGAGGGTGTTGTTTTTGCAAGAGCAGCATCAGAGTGAGCTCTGAAGAAGGTAATCCAGCAGGGTTGGCTGTTTGCCTGGCTGGAGTTACCCTGCTCAGGGACACTTTGCCCCAGTGTTTGCACTGTGCATTGGCAGGGCTGTCAGGAGAAATGAGCAGCTCAGGAAGAACTCTTGAGACTCCGGTGCCGTGTACTCACCTCAGAATTGCAGGTGCCTGTGTGCAGTGTGAATGGTTCTGAGCCTTTGCAGGCATCAAGCGCTCTCTCCTGGAATGAAAAAGCACAGGAACCCCAGTAAGTGGAGATGTGCTTTGTTCAGGAATTTATACTGACAATATATATTATACTCCAAGGTGTGCTCCTATGTGGTAACAATGAATTGCACTGAGCAATTTTACATTTTAACACGTCAGTGGGCACAGACTCTGACACAAAATTCTACCCTGTTACTGTTTCTGGTGTTTCAAATTTATTTTAAAACCCATTTTTGACTCATGCAGAAAAAGGTGAAAATAAGCCTATATTGAGAGAGACTGGGCTAGCTATAACATGTTTTCCTTTAAGGATCCAAACAGCACAGCCATCCTGCGTTTAGGATGCCAAACTGTCTGCAATAAGGATGTGTCAGTACTTGTAACTTTTTCCCCATTCGCACATCCACTGCAGATTTGTTAAACTATTTTTTAGTTTTTATACTTCAACAGTTGTGAATCAATCGATTTCTGAGAAACTTCAGTATCATTTTCACAGTAATTTTGGACTTATCAGTTTGGTTGTTTGAACAATAAATAGTGCCCTTTACTAATTTAGCAAATAAAAAATAAAACCTTGTTCAAGGACAATCAAAACATTAGATTAGGGAATATTTGGTAATAAACTTCAACAGTAGTAAAAATTACTGACTATAACCATACCAACTACTAAAACACTGATCAAGTCTGTTCTACAATGGCAGAATGTGATTGCAAGGTGCAGAAATAATCCATCCCACGCTGCACACAGGCACAGCAGTGACAGCGAGAGTACAGCGAGGGCTGTGGAATGCAGGTGGAGTCACAGGACAGGCAGAGGGCTGGAGCTCCTGGCCCTGTTTCCCCTCCATGACTGAGTTATCGAGGTAGGACACAGCTCTATTTGTGGGAGTCACATTTGTGCCAGATTTCCCATAGCATTGTAGACATACATGGAGTTAGCTGGGTCCCTCAGCTGCTGGCCATTCCCAGTCATTCCTGTGCTATCAGAGAACCCTCTGAGACTGGAGGACAAGGAGTGCCTTGTTCCTGAAAGCATGTCAGTTTGGAAACAGTGCTGATACTGGCACTGCTACAACAGGTACAAGTGCTGTCCAGCTTTGGAACTAATTGATTTGTAACCAGTACATACAACAAAACTGTCCTTGGTTCTAGCCCTAA